ACCTAGCCCCATCTCAACCTCTTGGTTTATTGGGCTAGGTAAGCCTTTGTTTATACGTTAAAATAGTCACTAACACAACTTGGTTTATTGGGCTAGCTGAATAAGCTAACGCACAGTCGCCAGACCTCGTCGGCGCCGCCTTCTGATTAGATCCACGCAGTATCCCTCGTGGTGTGTTGACGCAAGTCTACATCAATGTACAGCCAGGATACTCATTCAGCGCTCGCACATTTCCCGACCGCACAGCTCTTGAGCAGGCATCAGCTCGCACACAGTCCATCCAAGGAAAACCACCCAATCAGCACGTCTTCTTACCAGCACCACTGACTGTGCCATCTGTCACATATAGCCAGCATGCACGCCTCGACGGCGCTACATGCTTGACGGGGAGCCTTCATTGAGTACTGCCGCTCAGACACTATGCAGCCAAGGTACGGGCTTCAAATAATAGCTTTCTATCAAGCTTCCTAGGTATGTGGATAGAATTGCAGGAAGGAACAGCCAGACAGCGGCCTGCCTCCATCAATGCTCTCAGGTGCGTGAAGATGATGGAGGCGGAGTCAGCCGCGACGGCGTAGAACATGAACTACACCTCAGTGTGTCTCTCTCCTGCCCCCTTTTCTATGTGTGACTCATTGTGCGCTATAGGCCGTGTGCGGCGGTGTCATTGTCATCTCGGGTCTGGGCTAGCTGCGCGGGAGAAGGCATCGGGAATGTCCGCATCGGGTAGCACTGGGACTGGTAGTGCATTGCAAGTAGTGATGTGCGGGCCGGGCCTCAAAGCCCGCAAGCCCAGCCCAAAAAGCCTGACCCAAGCTAAGCCTGGCAGCAGGCTCAAGGCCGGGCTTGGAGCATAGTCAAGCCCAAACCTGGCCCGAAAGCCCAGGCTTGGGTGCACCAAATGTGTTGCCGTTCCCTGGGCTCAAAACATGGTAAGAACGACTTTATATACACATACAAGACGGGACGTTGACTTACCGGACTGGGCGGTCCCTGCTAGTGTGATTAGGCACAGTTGTGTGCCACCGCCTGGTGTTCGCCATAGGCGCCCCTTCGCGAACCTTGTCATAACATGGCTTGTAGCGCGGTCGCATGCCCTCTGGAGGCTGCAGTACAGTGGGTACATGCAATAGCAGCCTATCACATACAAATGTGCCCACGTTTGTAGCATATAAATACTTGTCCTAAGTTTTGCAAGCCTGGGCTTAAGCCCATGGCTTGGGCCGGGCTCAGGCTTGGCTCAGGCTCAGAGCTTGGCTTGGTGTCGCCACAAGCCCAAGCCGGGCCCGCACATCACTAATTGCAAGCCATGCAGCGCGGGGAGCAAGTATAGGAGCGTGTTGGGGCGAGAAGGGAAAAGGAACGTGGCGCCGCCCAGTTAGAAGTGCACGTTGCAGGCGCAAGGTATGTTTATAGTCCTTGGCAAGTAGACGTAGATCCACGCTTGGTAACGGCGTACATGCCGTTCCCACTATATGTGGCATGTCGAGCTAATTCCCGCACACAGTTCTCAAATACGGCGTTAAACTTTGCAAGACCACCTATCACACGACAGCAGCAACTCGACCTGGTGTGTTTATGGTAGCGAAGTCGACCGTTCGCAGAAAATGTTTGTCTCTACGACATGCACCATTGACAATAGCTATTAACTCAGGGTATCGAAGAGCCATTTGTACCGTAGTCTCCAGCTTGAATTGGCAAATGTAGTCATATTTCGCGGCTGGTAGATATTTTCATGTACAAAAACAGACATCCAACATAATACAATGCATCTTGGGTGCACCTTCTTGTCCCTTGCATGGCGTGTCTCGGTGCCTGATGGCAAAGCAGTGAGATGGCGGCTGATGCTGCTGTAAGTGAGTCGCAAAAGCTGACACAGCGCGAGTGTGCCAAGCTGGGGATGGCATGGCAGAATTGGCAGGAAGGAACGCAAAAGAGCATCGGCTTTGTGTGAAAGTTTGGTGTTTACCAGCTATGCGATGTAAGAGACCCAGGAGGCAAGAACGAAGGCCAGATACGCAGTCTCTTGTTCTTCTCACTAAACACGCTACGCCAATAGTATCTTCGTTGCTGTGTTTGGAGACCATAAACGAGCAAGGGCACTTACAAGAGGACAAACATACTCTTGGAGCTCTTGGTTCCAACTTAGCTGCAAGAGCCGTTGTCTCGCCGAAGTGCACAAACTATGTCCCCTCAATCATAGCGACTTGCTAGATCCTGGTCGCGATGGCGTGGGAACCTCCTTAGAGCTGATTCTTGAATAAGCGCATATATTGTCTATTTAATCTCTACAAACAAGTCGAGGGATAAGGTGGCCGTCGGTAAAAAGCTCGCTTGCAGCAGAGGCTGCTGACGAGAATAAACCAACAAGTGAAAGAGCACTAGAGCGTATGCAGAAACGAACCTGAGAGTAATGTATCGAAGTCAGGCATCATCGTTATGCTTTCGGATGGGCAAGCTTTGCTGTGCGGAAAAAGCTCCCACCAAAGGAACAGGGG